AGATGCTAGAGGTATAAAGGGATAAGGAAGAAAAAGATCTAGGATGACTTCCAGCTCTCTGATTGCAAAGCCTGAGAATAATGTAACTAATTAAAAGCAAAACAAAAGCTAAACAATAACCCCTAGATGCTGACATAGCACATTTTATTTTATTTTATTTTATTTTATTTTATTGAGAAAGGATCTCACTCTGTAGCTCAGGCTAGCCTTAAACTCACTCTCTAGTTCACTCTGGCCTCAAACTGTCTGTGATCCCCATGTCTCAGCCTCCCAAGTGCTGGATTAGAAGGGTTTGCCACCACACGTAGCACAACTTGTAAGTTTAAAACAAAAATAAAGCTAATAGGTTCCTTGGGATAAGACCTTTTTCTAACTTCTAATGTGACTTCCTTCTGTTTTGAGGAACCAAATTCTTGTATTTTTTAATAGCTAATGCATTTATTACTCAAAAATATAATCTTTCACATATGTATAGAGCTTTTAATTTCTCAAGATTCCTTCATAATTGTCATATTTTATTCTCATAATTACTCTTTATAAATTTGTATATGACATATTACATATATGAAGTATTTCACCAAATATATCAGGAACTTGAAGAGGCTATGGAAAAAGGGTAAATTAATACACATAGCACAACCAGCAAAGAGGAAAACTGGGACTAGAATCCAGGTGGAATGACTTATAAACCCCTTTTTTGTGTCTTTCTAATAATTTGTTAGCAACATAGCACAGTCAGTAGCGTGCAGATAAATGTGGAACAGCTGATTCAGGGTTTGGGAGATGAACAACCTGATGTTAACTGTTGCCCATTTCCATGTGTAAATCCTCCTATATCCTGACTTCATGCTACTGCTCAGTTACTGGACACAGAGCTGGAAAGTGATGTACACAGGCAGCGCTGCAGGCCAGGGGGAGCTGGCTCCCGCACACCCTGCATTTGTGCTAATATCTATCAGACGCTGGACCCGGGAGCTCATCAGACGAAGTTAGCTATTTAGAGTGCTTGTGACGGCTTTGCTTTAGAACGTCCCCCAGAGGCCTCCTGTATTCCGAGGTGGGGCTTCTAGAGTGTGATTGGATCTGGGTCCTGCTCTCACCAGTGCTTTGATCCGCTTACGGATGTGTGGCTGAACGTGCTCTCAGGAGTGGGACTCGGTCAGGAGGGGCGGTCCCTGGAGGCTGCCTTGGAAGGCAGCATCTCCTTCTCCCACCGTGCCCTGGCCACCATGACGTGAGCGGCTCTTCTCCACCAGGCCCTCCCCACGCTGACTCTGCCTGGCCACCAGCTGACTGTTGACTACACTGTGAGCCAGTATAAACCTCTCCTCCTTCAGGGCTTGGTGTTGGACACTGAGTCTGAGCGAGGAGAAGGTAACTAAGGCAGTGCCTTTCTCTAACGTGTCATACCGCTTGGTTCGTTGTGAGTCATCAGCTGGTTCCTCATATAATATGCTTGGATAGAAAAAGTCAGGCACTGAAATAACTTCTAAGGATCCAGACTTCACTTGTCGTTTGAATCTGTAAATAGAAGTACATGCACACTTTTAGTGAATATTTAATTTAGCAAAACAACATACTGAAATACAATTTCTTGATGAATTTCCACGTAATACTGTGATTTGAATTATTTCACATGTTGACATGACTTGTGATGGTTGATACATTGTGTCAACTTGAGAAGTTTAGAAGTTTAATTAAGTGACTCAGCAGGGAGCCAGGGTCCTGATTTTGAAAACATCCTCATCCTGCGCAAGAGGAGGGCATGGAGATTGTGTGAGTGCTACACCGCCCTAGGGAGTGGTAGCCTGCTTGCAATATAAGGGAGAGAGAGAGGCTTGCTCTTCCCCTCTTGTGCTCTTGCTGCTTTTGCTGTCTTCTGCCGCTTTGGAGAGTTGGCCCTGTGCCATGCCACCCTGCCTTGGAGCCAGCTGATTATGGACTGAAACCTCTCCAAACTGTGAGCTAAATAAATCTTTCCTTCCTTAATTTGGGGTGTTGGGTATTTTGTCTCAGCAATGAGAGAAAAGTAAGTAAAACAGTACCAATATCATATAACTACTTTTTAGCTAAAGTAATTATGTTCCAAATTAATGGCAGACATATCAAAAAAAATCAACATTTAAAATAACTTCCATTTGTAAAAATTATAGGTACTTCTATTTTTTTACGTTTATACACAGAGGCATATGCTGACATTCAAGATACTGTAACTAATACAATATGATAATAGCTCCAAGAAAGCAATAGGATTGGATCTTTTTTAATGCATAAATTTGAATTTAATAAAAGTCCTTTTGAACATAGCAATGTGATTTCTGAAAGCAGATAACACAGTATACAAGGGTTACATCTCACACTCACTGACAACTCTTTGGAGAACTATCTATTTTTTAGCATCTTTATTTTTTAAAGAATACAGATAAAGCAACAAGGACATCACTAAAATACATAAAATATTGCTCACAAAAGCTGTAATATGAATCTTGTATCATCAAGATAAAGGATGGGAGATCAGATAGAACCTTAAATGATCTTCCTTTAGAGACATAATACAATTCTAAGAAGGATTTAAATTTAGGTATTATATTATTTATTAAAATGTTAACATCTTAAGGAAATATTATTTTTCATTGCCCAAAATAAAAAGCAGGGCAAAGCTTTATATACATGGCCTTAACATTGTACAAAACTGGCAGTTCCAACTACACTGTTCTGAGTACCTCAATTACAATTACAGTGTTAGTTAGATAACAACCTCCCCCACGATACTGTTCAGACTGTAGTTACCGTGGTGTATTAATCATGCAAAGTACAAACTTCACTTCTAATTCTTCAGTGCCCAAATCACTACAGAAAGAACAGGTGTGCATCAGTGACTAATCAAGATGCTTTTTTCAAAGTCAGTTGGCAACTGGTCACTGTGCCTGGGTTATCCACTTCACTTACAGACAGGAAAGCATGCAGTTGTGTTGTCTCAGGAGTCTCCTAACCATAAACAAACTCATGTGGCATTTAACAAAAGTGGGTGATTGAAAGAGGGAATCCACCGACATGAAAGTACAGAAAACAATAATGCCAGCAGGAATTCTGTAATGTGACTACAAGCCAGCTGCCCACAGGAATGTTGCCAGCTTCCACTGCGGGAGACCCCAGACCCACAACAAAGGGAAGCTGGCGAGGGTGAACCTATCATGGAGATCAATCAGGAAGGTGGTTGCCTTGAAAAGCAGGTCACAAAGAAGCAGTGCCGCTAAAGAAAGCTTTTCATTAAGGAAACTCAGAATACAGTATTTCATGACCCTGGAACTACAAATGATAAAATGTTTGGACCTGATTTGAACTCCGAAGTATTACAATTTGCCAAAGTAAGAACAGATGTTGGTTCTGTATTTGAGTTACATGACAACAAGAAGGTAAGCACTATTTAAACTATTCTTGATAAATTTCCTAAAAGAAATAAAGTGCTTTAATAATGATTTCAATACTTTAAAGTACGGACTACTCAGTCTACTCTTGTCTTTCTGAAGGTCTACTTACACATTTAAATTCAGCTCAATCTTGAAAACATTTTTCTTCCTTTTCTTTTGTGTATCAGGTGGTACTGAGGACTGAACTACATCCTTAGCCCTTTTAAATTTTGAGACAGGGTCTCACTAAGTTGCTAAATTCTCCAGGCTGAGCTTGATCTTACGATTCTCCTGCTTCACTCCCCAGAATGCTGAAACTGCAGGTGTGGGCAGTTACGCCTAGATGAGAATGTCCTTTTTCTATTGTCAAAAATAGTGAAATACTACTTCCCTGTATATTCTCAGATTGCCTTCCTCATAACACTTAATAATGACAGTCTCTACACTGTGATTTGTTTTTAATGAGTGATACTAGCCATTTGAGCAGAAGAATTTGGAAGGCTGAGTTCCTTCTACAGCATCTTGCTTGATAAATAACTGTTGATTTATCAGAATGTGCTCTGACTGGTTACAGCACTTGTACCTCATGCAGTAGGGAATAGTGTTCTGAATGCCATTTAGCAGTTTCTGTCAGTGTCAGTAGATTTCATGAAGGATATGTATTTTAACAACAATAATCTATGAATTTTAATACATAGGTGATCTGCAAAATCCGAGAAATCCTTAGCTATACCTCATCCCAGCTTAGCATTAGCTAGCAGGTTGTTTCTGAACAGCTAGACTCGTTACAAAGAATATGATCATTAACAAATAATACTACTGTTGGCTAGAAGAAAGTAGAATAGAAAAATGAATGACTAACTTTATAATTTATCACACAGTACTTACCTTTGTTTAACCATGTCAACAACTGATTTTACATAATCTTCATTACTCTAAAAAATCAGGAAAAATTTAATGAAAGTAAGCATGAGCCATAGTTTCATTATTCAAACATTTTTGCTATATGTAAATCTATCTGTGGAATGTTAGTGTCCTCATATTTTCTAGTGTTTTCATTTTTTATAAGGGATTTTAAAAAACATGTATTTAAAAATGTGACTTGAATACACAAAATATTTCTTCATTGTCCCCTTTGCCACAATATGAAAAATTGCTATCCGTTTTTACGCTTAAATATTAGTATGCAGAATCTTCTATATCTAAAAGTGTTTTTGCTCTAAAAATGGTCTTCTTAGAAGGATTTAAATCAAAGGACTACTCTTTTGGAAAATGTCTTCATCTTCTTAGTGTTATGTGACAACAAGTTTACTTTAAAATTGTACCACAATTTTGTGACAGTATTGCTCAGCTTGCTTCCTAAATTTTCTTCTGTCCTAAACTCTGTGGACTTGATCTTTGAACATCGAACAGTGTGCTAGATTAGACCACAAACTCATTTGTTAAAAGCGTCTGATGTTTGATCCCCTTGGGAGTCTTTATAAAAAGTAACTGATGCCATTTACAAGATGTGGCCAAGAACCCTTAAACGTTTCCAATATAAAATTCTGAAAATATTTTTTAAAACGACAGTTCTATTATTAAACCTGAGCACTCCAAAAGGCATCTCTGACTATATATAATCAGGTTGTTTAAAAACATCAGACATACTACAGCCAAGTCTGTTACAGTACCTAAAATTCTTAAGATAACCATAAATTGAATCAACACTGAAAGATATTAGTTTAAATACCGCTGAAGTCTGTATTACAGCCTTCTCTATTGCACTTGTAAGTTGGTTCCCAATATTGTGTTCGTCTAAACATTTTAAACAGATGTGCATTGTGCAAAAAGCAAACAAATAAAGACTATGAAATACAGAAATATGTCAAAACATTTTGGAGATTATATATCTGCTTCCAATATACGAAATGAAACTGAGATGAACTACAATAAATGTTCAATCTTTTGTTTACATTTTTCTAGTAGTTCTTCCATTGAAAAATTTTGTTTATAGAGCTTTCCTTTTCTGCATTCAAATACATCTTTATCATAAGAAATTCAAGTGATAAAGAAAGAATAACTATGACTCCTCTGATTCCCAGCATTCAGAGGTAAGCATTACTTATATTTTGGAGACCATTATTTTAATGCTATGGTTTAGATCTTGAAAGTCTCCCAAAGGCCATGTAGTCAAGAGCTGGTCCCCAGCCTTAGGTCATTGGGGACATGCTTTTGAAGGGGACATTGAGACCCTCCCCCCCGGCTGTTTCCCAGCTGCCATGAGTTGAGCTGCTTTCCTCTACTCTGTCCTTCCTCATGGTATTTCTGCCTTGCCTCAGGTCTAAAAAGCAATGAGCTAACCCTCCATAGCCAGAAACCTCCAAAACTATCAACAAAAGTAAATTTTTCCTCCTTTAAGTTGTTTATCTTCAGTGTTTTGTCACAGAGACAGAAAGCTAATACTCTAGTTTGTACATTCTTTTTGCTTTATATATTTCTTATTTATGTAATTTTCTTCTCATTTTACAGAGAATACATTATGTTAAATGTGATGTTTTATAACTTTTTTACATTCAGCAACATGATGTGGATGTGATTTTATATCAGTGTGTGGAGATACTCTTTCCTTTTAACATCTACAGAGTATTGTATTAGAGATCTAAAATATTTAGTGAGCCTCTTATTAATAGATATTTTGGATTTTTTCCCAATATTATCCTGTCATTAAGCAATACTGCACTGAAATGATTATTTGTTGTATCATTTTCAGTTCAAGCACTTTAAGTATATTAGCTAATCTCTTCTCTGAAGACTACTGTGATAGAGATGGTATTCTCATCATTTAACAGACAAGGAAAGTAGGCACAGAGAACTTAAATAAGTTGCTCAGCTTTACAAGCCAGGAAGTGTAGAAGCTGAAATTGAACCGTGGCAATCCAGATGCAGAGTCTGTGGTTTCAACTATTATTCTATACTGTCATATTTTTATTGTGATTAAACACTGGCAAAATTATCCACTAAGGATAAGTTCCCTGAATTTGGATTTCTGGGATAAAAGATATACACATTTTAAATATGACACAAGTCAAATTCCCTACAAAAAGTCTTATGGTACATACATATACATAGTACTGTATATACATAGTACTGTATTACTTTTACTCAAATTTTCAAATTCTACAGTGATTGCCATAATGTCATTAGGGGTAAAATAGAAATCTTTGAAGCCATGAGAGAAATAAATTTGAATCTTTAATTACTGGGCAAATTACTTAACTTTCTTTAAGCTCTTGTTCCTTCATCTGTAAGATCAGGACGTTGATACCTACTTTATAGGGATGTAGCACAGATTGTAAATCATGTCTAGAAAAATTTTCCACAATCTCTAAGGCATAAGGAGTCCTTCAATTAATGGTAATTATTGTGGCTTAATATAAATTATTTCTGGATACATACACCAACTTTTAAAAATATTATTATTAGTAGGCCTTGAACTTACTAGGGAGCCTAGGCTGGCCTTGAACTCACAGTGATCCTCTTATCTTGGTTTCCCAAATGCTGGAATTACAGGCATGTGCCAGCACACCCTGCAACATTTACCAATATTTTATTGGACTAATATTTTATTGGACATCTTATTACCATAGCATCAACTTTAGTGTTCTTGTGTGTAAATACAATTTCTGTATCCTATAGAATGTAGGAATGCTATATTAGAGGTAATTCAAGTTTAGCAAAATTATCCCTCCCACATTAAACCATTTTGTTTTCTTTGTAGATTTACATATTTAATTCTTCCTCAGTGGTGTCAAAAAGTATTATATATATTGTCTGCAACCCCAAACAGGCACGTGTGGATTCCATTTTTTAAAAAAAGTTAGAATAAAAATATAAAACGATAAAGTGATCCCCACTGAGGAAGGGAATTTGGAAACGGTAGGAAGAGAAGAACTTCTTATCTTGCATACGTACATCTGCAACAGAAACAATCACTACGGAATCCTCCTCTTCCTGAGGCGTAACCCTGGTGACAATGGAGTTCAGTGTTTGCTTCAGGTAAGTGTGATTTCCTCTGCTGACGGTGGGAATACCTACTGCAAAGGAAACTGCAGACACAGGAGGATGGAAGTGTCATCTCAAGGCACAAATCAAAACAACAGCATTAATTCTGTGCTTCTTTCTATGCTTGGGTTAGTCTTATGCTTATAAAAAGTGTCTGAAACTGCATTATAGAAGTAATCCTAACTACATTATCAGGTCTTTCATTTTCTATAGGGACAGAAATTCTCATTTCCAGTGCATTATATTTTAATCGAAGTATTAAACATACCCCACAATGTTCTTACATTGGAAGGTTTTGGTGCGATGAAAATTAAATCAAGCACTTGTCATAGTTTTCACTTAACTTGACAGCACTGTCACACAATCCTCTACCGTTCTTCTTGAAGAGACACTGGAACTTCAAGCAGTGAAAACGCTATGAGATGTTTTCATTAGTGCGAAAAATGTATGAAGTAATTTCTAAGTGGTCTGATGGGATGACTCCATGCCCCTAAGTGGCTTTTATTGTGCAACACAAAGTGAAGCACTGAGGAAAACCATCCCCACGCTATCCTGGAGTACTGCAGCAAGATTTCATCAAGCAATTCCCCCATATGCAATCATGGCGGCCCCAGTTCCTGGTGGTGTGAGAGGAGGGAAGAACACAGCCTCGCTACCCTCAATTTCCCCACATTGAAAGTGAGAACGGCCACGTGAGTTACTCAGAAAATCATCTTCCTAAAAAGCAGTAAGAAAAGTAAAAAACAGATTGATGAGATAGTTATTTTAGGGCCATTTCTCAGCAAACTGAGAAATGTTTATTTAAAGGAAGAGATTGAACTTTGGAAATAGCAGTTAAAATTAGTGTTTTGTTGATTACCATTGAATTTGAACGACTGGAGCCATTAGGATGGGTTTGGACTCAATGCATCCCTCCTGCCTCAGCAGGTGTTGGGATTACAGGTGTGTGCCACCACACCTGCTGCTTTGCTGGTTTATTGGTGCTCATTACATATTCCAAATATGAACCTCTTGCTTGTGATGTGTTGTAAAAATGTCATCCCCATTCTGGGTTCCCTTTCCAAATTGTGCCTCTTAGTGTACAGAAATTTTTAATTTTAATGTACTGAAGTTTAGTCACTGTTTCCTTCATAGTTCATCCTTTTGGGGTTCTTTTGAGAAATCTTTGCTTCTCTCTAAATTCTAAGGATATTCTCCTAGGTTATCTTCAAGACGGCCTATTATTTGCCTTTCAGTGTAGACCTACAGTGCACCTGAAATTGATCCTTACCTGTAGTGTAACATAGGAATCAAGTTTCAAGGGGTGGAATGCACTACCTTGGTACAATTCTTGGGATGGCTCCTGCTGCTATAGCATAAAATTCTGAGCCTTGGCCCAATGTCCTTGCTTCAAATTCCACTGTATTTTTTTTTTTTTTTCTGATTTTGTGTAACTGAGTTCATGCTTCAAGGATGAGCTTAAGCACTGCCTCTCTGTAAAACTTTTGCTGACCTGGGCCCCAAAACAGATGGGAAAATGGGAAAACAGCCAAGTACAAATAGCTTTTCAAAACCAAAGAGAAAAGATCTGTATTTAGCAGATGTTTAATGTATATTTGATTGATATTGATCTATTTTCAAAATATCTGTATTAAAATTGAATTTTAAATCAAATCACTAAATATTTATACGACTATTTTTTTCCTGCCAGACCAGAGAAGAGCATGGCTGCTGATATACATACCCTTCCTATCTTACGATATACGTAGCCTTCTTATACATAGCCAGATAGGCTGGTGGTGTCCTCTCAAACACTTTCAAACATAAAAGTTCACCCCCAAAATATCAAAATATCTTTCAATTTTCCCAGTCTAAGGTTTCTTACCACCTGTTTTTCCTTGGCTAATGATTACTTTAGGATAAACTCTTTTGACTTTCTTTAGATGAGGAAGAAAGAACTTAAAATCTTCAAATATATTAGATGCTGTTTCTCCCTCACTCACTGTATCTAGTTTCTCTTCATCTGAAAGAGAAAATAAATAAGGCCTCTGAATTTTTAGCCATAGGGATATTTTTCTCTCTGATACAAATTTTTAAATGAGGGATAATAAGTTAATCCACAGACTAATTTAGTATGAAAGAGAAATATATTCTTACATGTGAATTATCAAAATTATACTACAATAAAGTATATTCAAAGATTATTGATTCATATTTATTTTAAAAGCAATTTTAACTTAAGCCTAGCACCATGAGCTACACCACAGACCAACAGAGCTGTTAGTTCTAAGTGAAACATGCTATGGGAATAGTTTCTTTTCAATTCTGATAAATATCATTTCACTAAAGTTGGCATCCTTATAACCACTTTGTAGCCCCTTAACATTTAATGACTCTGTTTATACCCTTCATTAAATTTTTCTTAAACAATTTCAAAAGAGGAGAGATAAACAGAGAACTCATACTATTGAATTTTAATTTATTATATATAACTTAGTAATCAAAACAGCATGGTATTACATAAAAATAGGCAGTAGAACAGATGAGAATAAAGAAATTGATCCACACATGCATACACACATACACACACATACATGTGATATCCACACATCCACACATACATGCATGGTTGATTTCTGGCAAAGAGGAGAAAGTGATCAATCAATGCAGAAAAGACAGTTAATATCCTATTGCTGGAACACTTCAACATCAAAGTGAAAAAACTGAAGGTTGATCTGTACTACAGACCACTTATACAAATTAATGCAAAAATTTCCAAAATATAAATGTAAAACATGAAACTGTGAAGTTTTTTTAAAAAAAGAAAATCCTTATGTCCCTGGGCTAGGTAAAGAGGTCTTAGATACAACCTAACAATACATAAAAGAAAACTTGATCAGTTGGACTTCAAGAAAAGCAAAAGTGTTTGCACACTAAAGAAAGTCAAGAAAATAAAGCCAAATATGGTGGTGCACCTCTGCAAACCCAGCACTTGGGCGGCTGAGGCAGGAGGATTGCAAGTTCAAGTCTTGCCTGGGCAACTTAGTGCAACACTCTCTCAAAATTTTAAAAAGGGTGTAGGGACATAGCTGAGTGTGAAGGCTTTGGGGTGGTTCCATCCCCAGTACCAGAGGCAAAAAAGAAAAAGAAGAAAGCCAAGGTAAACCACAGACTGGAAGAAAATATTCCTAAATCATGTATCCACCTGGTATGCATCCAGGATAATATGTAGCACTCTCAAAATTCAACAGGGAAGTGAACCACTCATTTAAAAAATGGGAAAAAGATTTGAACAGATGTTTCCCAACTAAGATATCTGGATGGCAAATAAGCACATGAAAATGTTGAACATCACTAGTCACAGGGGGATTAATATTAAAACTGAGGTAGCATGACGCTGGAATGGCCATAGAACTGGAGTGATGGGAAATGTCATGCACTGCTGCAGAGGATGCCAAATGGTACGTCCACCCTGGAGAACAGCCCGGCAGGTTCTGAAACACAGACTCGACATATCCCACATCAATCCTCCTTCTAGTCGTAATCCTTAAAAAATTAAAACTTATTGTCATACAAAAAAAAACCCAACCCTGTAATGAATGCTTATAGCAATGTTGATTTGTAATTGCCCAAAACCAAAACAACTCAGATGTCCTTTAACTGGCAAAAGGATCAGCAAACTGTATCCATTGTACATCCATACAATAAAATGCAACTCAGCAAAAAAAAGAGGAAAAAAACTGTTCGCATAACAATTTGCATATATTTGTGCTAAGTGAAAGAAGCCAGTCCCACAGAGTGACACACCATATGACTGCATTTGTACGGCAGCCAGGAAATTGATCTGTGATTGCCAGAGGTTAAGCGTGGGCAAAGGATTGGACACAAGGCAGGAATGTTTATCCTGGAGTAATAATGAGCCACTGAAGCTTTATATTCAGGATGCTGCAGCTTTCACTTTGGCCACAGTGGCTATAGATAGGTGGGTGCACGACTGGAGAGATGGAAGGACCGTTGGAGCATGTGGTAAGTCCAACGTTGAGATGAAGCACGACGGTGGCCTGATTAGTGTCATGGAGATGGTGATGGAGAATGTGAACGACGTGTGAGGGAGCCAGGATGCGGACCGAGAGGGTTGCCTGTTGACTGACTGAAGAGAGGCAAGAGGGAAGAGGGGCAGAGGTGGTGCCCAGGTGCTGGCCGTATTTACAGGGTGAATGGTGTGGTGCAGTTCATAGACAGGAGACCACTGTCCAAGTAGAGAGAAGGAGAGTGCATCGGTAGGGGCTAGGGATTTAGCTCAGCGGCAAAGCGCCTGCCTGGCAAGCGCAAGGTCGTGAGTTCGGTTCCCGGTACCAGAGAAAAACCAAAAAAAAACAAAAAAAAGAAAAAAAAAAAAAAAGAAAGAGAGTGCATCGGTGATGTCTCTCACCTGATCTCCACAGCCTCACAGTAAGAGAATGAATGGTACCAGTTTAGTTATGGTCATGGAGGGGAAATGCCTAAAACTCAGAAGGCATTTAATCTAAGTCTCCAAAACACGAAACATAAGACAGAGAAGCTACCATATACAAAAGCAAAAACACAGACCTAAATTTCTTGACTGATTCTCTCTCTGCATAACTTCATACTGTAGCGCATTAAAGGCTTTTGTAAGCTCTTCACGAGTGCTTTTGCTCTTATTTTGTAAATGTAGTATATTTTCCTTAAACTCCAAAATATGGTTCTTACAATTAGTTAATTGATTACCTGCAAAGAAGAAAACAAAGATATATATTTATACGTGCAGCAATTGTATGACATAATTTTCTGTGATTTAAAAATGTAAAATATGTATGTCAGTGTGGACATAGATAACAAAGAATATATACCTGTGTATCTGTATATCATACAGTGCCTTTAGGAGGTGTGACCAAAGATGTAGTCAGTGCTGCTGCCAAGGGCCATCCAATGGAAAGGCAGGCCCATAAAAACATCACAGTGATTCCTCATCCACCTTATCCATCAGATCTGGTACCAGTTTAGGTACCACGTGACTTCTGCATCTTCCCCAAAGTCAAAATGACCACGAAGGGTAAATGTTTTGGACTGATTCAGATCATTGAGGCAGCTATGACAGGACATCTAAAGACAGGGAAGAGGACTTCCAGAACTACTTCAGAAAGCAGTGAGAATGATGGGATAAGTGTGTTCAAAGAAAAGGGCAGTGTGTTAAGGAGGATTAATGGCCATGTCTTTTACTGTAATAACTTAAATTTAAACATTCACCATATTTTTGATCAGACCTTATCTCAAGAGTAGCTATTGCTGATATGAGAATATAGATAAATGGGGTTTCAGTTAGTAGAGAAAGCACAGAAATTCCCAATGATGTGGGTGGAACAAAAGATGAATACAGGGCTTGGGTGGCAATAAATTTAGATGGATTTTTTTACAGCTAAGATCCTACGTGAAACTGCACAAACAATAATGACTTGTTTAGATTCCGTACTGACTATTTTTCTTTCATCTGCCTTGCAGCAGCAAGGGCACACATGTGGACAGCTGAGGGCAGAGGCTGGGGGAAACCATTCCTCAGCTCAGACCCTCTTGAGATCTCAGAGCACACTCAGAAAAATAGCAGCAGACTTCTTGTGGCAAACCCAGCCCTATACCATCTGCTTTTGGGTTCTGCTCCGGCCTCATGTCCTGCTCTCCCTGTCTCCTTGAGGGAGACCAGCTCCAGCCACACAGGCCTCCTAGCTGAGCAGATCCTCTCCCGCCATGGGGTGCTGGCTCCAGCAGCATTCTCCATGCAAAGTGCTCCCCGTCAGGTTCCCTGTGGCTACAATTCCTGAGCAGCATTCGGCTTTCTACTGCATCAGAACTGCCTCAGATAAGCACACCCTGCCATGCTATGCAAACTATCTTCTGCTTCTTTTTTTTTTTTTTTTTAAGTCACTAATCACTATCCGACTTCTTATTAAATTGTGTCCATCTTCAGAGGTCTCAAGAATGCAAGCTTGAGAATAGCATGAATTTTGAAGTTGTTTTGGTTTTGTTTTTGCAGTGCTAAGGATTGAGCTCAGGCCCTGGAACATGCTATGCAACTGATCTATCATGAGCTACATCACTAACCCTTTTCAAAAAATACTTTCGTTTTGGGAAAAGATCTCACTAAGTTACCTTGGCTGAATTTGGAACTTGCAGTCTGTCTGGCTCAGCCTCCTGAATAGCTGAGATTACAGATGTGCACCGCCAAGCCTGTTTGTTTTGTTTTTCCTATTAAATTCAATGTCTACAAGAGTGACCAGCCTACAGGTCTTACACAAATATATACTGAATGAATGAAATGAATAGGCTGGTTTTAGTGACTTCTTAAAACGGAATCGTGCTTTAATCAAGAGAAATGAAGTTGATAAATGTTGAATATTCATATAGTAGATACATTTGAGGATGCTTACAAACTTTAGAGGTGGATGTGCTGGTACAAATAATAACTATGTGATTAGGATTTTCCAGACAATATTTTCTTCGCAAAATGGACCATATGCTTGGAGTTGATGTGTCGTGGGTGAGGCAACATGTCTGGCTTTCCACCAAGCAGGACAGTCCCTGAAGGCCCAATTTGATGAACACTAAGAGAAAGCGTTTTCTGTGGGGGAAGCAGCATTTACAGAAGCAGCCGTGCAGCAATGTTAAAAGACATCATCTCTAATCTTGGATCTGCTTCTTGTACATTCTTCTGTGATAAATCAAAGGGTCAATATTTTATTTAAAATATTTATATTGCAGTAGCTGTGCATTCGATTAGGTATTTATTGAGAGCAACATGTTAGAGGGCCACTTCCTAGAGGTTTGAAATAAGCAATCATTAGATGCTTTGAGTCAACTGAACATCTTTGTAATAAAATCATGAAAATGAACACTGATTCATATGTGTAAAGGGCCAGCATGACGTCTGCCCGTATAAAAAAGTTCCAGGTGAGATTCTAAGTACCACCGAGCCCTGTTTCTCACAGCAGGGGTCCAAACACTGCTGTCCTATAGAAATAAAACATAAGCCTCATTTGTAATTTTAAATTTGCAGGTAGCCACGTTTTTAAAAGGTAAAAAGGAATCAGTGAAGGTGATTTTAAATGACAACCTTTTAAAACCCAATAAATCCTAAATGTTATCTGATATCGAAATAATCAGTGGGACATATTACATTGCTTTCTTGTATTAAGTAATCTAAATCCTATGGCTTTTATACTTAACAGCACATCTCAATTCAGATGCTGAATTGTAATGTTTACAATGAAAGGTCGTCTCACCGGGAGAGGAAAGTTTCATGCTGGAGAAATAGTTTGCATTGCCTCAGTTATTAAGTATAAATCTGAACTACTTAAAATCACTCTGAGGTAAGCATTCAGGCCCCTAGCTGCAGTAATGGTTTGAGCTTTTGTCAACCACGTGGCTGACGCTACTATACTGGACCATGCAAATCTCTGGTATATCAGCTCTCAGCTCCCTAGAAATGCAGTGTCTCAGGGCGCTCTTCCCAAACTGACTGAATCAGAATGTGCACCTTCGGTAATGTTCCCAGTTGATGGGTGTGCACATTAAAATTTGAGAAGCACTGCTGCAGACCTCTTTAATTGTTGTATCTTTATGATCATTGATATTAGCCTTTACTGTCTATCGCTGTAGTATTATAATTGCTTCTTCATTGGTCTTTCATCTCCAATTCATGATTAATCTCCTGGAAACACTGCTTTGGGCCTCTAAAAGGTCCCCTGAACAAATACTGAGCAAAGCACAGACTCTTTGCGCCAGTACACAAGGCCAAAAACAAGGTGGCCATGCCTTCCTCCACTGGCTTTCTTCACTCAGTAAACACCTCAGGTGGGCTGACACTGTCATTCCATCTCCCTTTGACTGCTTATTGTGTTTCCCTTACTGTACCAGGTTACAGGAAAACAAAGGAATGAAGCCAGGTTTCTACTCTAAATCAGCTGGTCATCAGGGTATAAGGGACGAGTGGCAAGGAACATATATTTAAACAAGTAATATAACTCTTACAATAGTTACCCTCCCAGAGCCATAGGCCAGGCAGGCAGGAGTGATTAAGGAGGAAGAAGGAGTAGGTGAGGGAGGTAGAAAGGTTTCAGAGAAGAGGGAATATTTGAGAAGCTGAAGAAGGTATAGAACTTCACTAAACTATAAATAAGTTAAAGAGCAAAATAAAAGATAAATAATAGGAAACAAAGACATAGATCTTTTGCAAATGGGAAGAGGACCCAGAGATGGAGAGAGTGGGAAAGAGGGAGAGAGAGTAGGGGAGAAGGGGACATAAAAGAACTAAGATGTGTTATGTACACATACCAACTCCCCACAATGAATATAATTATGTCTTGTAAACATGTACTAATAAAAATAAAAATTAAAAAAAAGAATTTTGCCATACAGAAAAAGGCAAGGAAGGACACTCCAGACTAAGGATACAGTACCACCAGTAGCCTTGAAAGGTACAACCTCCAATGACCTAAAGACCTCCCAATAGGCCCCACCCCTTAGACATTTCACTGCCTCCCAACAGCAATACTATGGGGACTACGCCTGTGTTTAGGGGGATATTCAGCATCCAAACTACAGGAGGCAGTAGGAGATGAAGCTAAAAAGCAGAATACACACAATTACTCACCTCCAGGTATGCTTTGCAATAATCAAATCAGAGTATGCACCAATCCCTTTAAATTCCCTAAGGGCCCGTTATACATTAGATTTTTTGTTTGTTTGTTTTGTTTTTGCAGCAGTGGGGATCGAACCTGAGGCCTTTGCACTGAACTACACCCTTAATCCTTTATTTTTTATTTTGAGACAGGGTCTTGCTAAATTGCCCAGGGTGGGCTCAAACTTGTAATCTTCCTGCTTCATCCCCCCACCCCTGAGTGCTGGGATCACAAACACACAGCATTATGCCCTGGCTTGCATTAGGTTTTATTGTGAAATATATTAGACATGAGAATAAGTACATAAAACAGATTAAAGGAGAGAAATAGAAATGAGTATCCATGAACTTACTGAGTCTTAGAAAACCCACCTATGTTCCTCCCAGATCACATTCTCCTTCCTCCCTACTCTCAGATGAGAATTTTGAATTTTATATTAATTATCCATTGCGTCCCTTTATAGTTCTAACATTTTGCAAGTGGACTTACACTTGGCTTAAGACATCAATTAAAAGAAAATATAGGCATTCTATACTTGCTTCTTTTCCTCACTTTATGCTTTTGAGACTCATCCATAACTGATGAGTCAATCTATAGTTCATTCATTGTAACTACTATAGAAATTTCACTGTACCACAACACATTTATCTCTCCTCTCATTGTTGAACAATATTATAAGAACATTCACGTGCCAAGAATATCCTGGTATTTGTGTCCTGGTAAACATATTTAAGAGTTCCCCTTGTGATAGGGAGTGATGGCAAACCTTTTAGAGCTTTTCAGTGATACAAACAGCCCACTATGGCATGCATTCCTTAAATTCGCCACCACTGCCCTAAGATATATGTGGTGGTAGGCATGTTATTTAAAATACATAACAACCTGTATAGTATATGTATTAATCCATAAGATCAGAAGTTGGGCTATAAATCATTAGTAAGATGGTACATTAATTCAACCTTGACTAGTATATAGTGGAATTGCTAAGACACATAAAGTGTGTAATAGAAATGATCAAATGTATAGCTCTTCAAGAGAAGTTTGTGTTGGTTCCTA